AGTAGTACCATCAAAAGTTAATCCAACAACTCTCACACCAGTATCATGCAGTAAGGAAATACATTGCTTAATCAGAGTGCATTTTTGATCAGTCGTTATTCCATTAATAAAGAAATAACCTACAGGTACTTTCCATGCAGCATTCATATATAGTATACAAATAGAAAAACTAAGGCATCTTTAGCTTTGTTAGTATTATCATTTTCAATATCATTTCCAAAATCAACGTAGCCAGAATATTTATTTCCATCAAATTCAGTATGTTGTCTAATTGACATTTCGTCAAAAATTAAGGTTCCAATTAGTGGATAATCTGTTACTTTTACTCGTTCAGAAATACTTTTCAATGCTTCTTTGATAAAACCAGGATTTGCATTAATCGATTTGTACCATTTCGTTAAAGATTTTGGATGTGGAAGACATGAATTGAAATGTTTACGTACATAATCATACGCTTTAGGTGAGTAATACTGAAGTGTTAAAGCAAATTTTCGAAGCTCAGAGGAATATTGTTTAGAAAGATATTTCCCTGCTTAAAAGAATCGATAGAAACGGATAGAATAAGATAAAAATTTAAGGTCTATCGTTACCTTACCGCTTCTATCGTGTTTTTACTAAGTATTTTCAACTGAATATTTCTATCGTTCTCAATGCGCATATTCCGAGAAACAAATATCGCGTATACGGCTCTATACAATATAGATTCTGTCGCTCTCTATCGGGACAAATATGTGACTTCCGATTAGACATATCGCAACATATCGTTCTCAATGCGCATCTTCCGAGAAACGAATCTCTCGTATACGTTATAGGTTCTGTTGCTCTATCGGGACAAATCCGAGACATCTGATTAGACGTATCGTTCTTAATGCGCATTTTCCGAGAAACAAATTTCGCTTATATGGCTCTATACAATATTTCCGACAGGTTCTGTCGCTCTATCGGGACAAATACGAAACTTCCGGTTAGATGTATCGTTGTCAATGCGCATTTTCCGAGAAACGAATCTCGGTTATACGGCTCTATACTGCTCTATACGGTATTTCCGACAGGTTCTGTCGCTCTATCGGGACAAATACATGACTTCCGATTAGACGTATGGTTCTCAATGCGCATATTCTGAGAAATGAATCTCGCATATTGGCGATGCAAAGATGATTTCGTCATCTTTCGGAAAGTGATGGAAACTGATCTCCTCCTTTTTATACATTTTTATAATTATGGCACTGTGCCACAGAACTGTATCTAGTATTAGTAGTATTTCTTTTTGATTTTACTTTATTATTTTCCATTATAGCAAGTATAAGTTTATCTAGAGTCCTAGATATCAGATAAACACAATCGATGTTACGCGTCCTGATTGACGTGACTCTCATCCAATCATGACATTTATTCAATGGTACTAAAGTGGCTTTCTAGTAGACGATTGGTGGATTTCATAGTTCGTTTGCGAACGACGCCATTTTTAGTTACGGTCTTAAATATAAGAACTGGGGGTCTATTCTTCAAAAGAAACGTATACGAAAAATTAGGAAAATACTATAGTATACGTAACATATACTATAGTATTTCCCTAGACTTTCGTATACATTTCTTTTCAAGAATAGAGCCCCTGACTATAAATACTGGCTTATGATTCCAAGGCCGAATTCATAATCAATTCTTATATTCAAGACCACCTTAAGTTCAATTTTGAGGTATTATGAACCAATCAGATAGCTGCATTAGCATATTAAGACATTACTTAAGACGATCTAAAAATAAGAACCAACTATGAATATACCGGCCTTAAAGACGTCTTTCAGATACATCTAATAACCCTTAAAAGGATGTTCAAAAGACATCTCGTGATGTCTAAAAGACGTCTAAAAAATAGATGTCTTTGGGATTTGACTAAAAGTCGTCTTAAAGACGTATTTTAGACGAGTCTTGAGTCTATCGCATGAAATGCATAACAGTGCATAAACATAACATAGGATCGCTGGACCAATGAGTATTTTATGTTAATTAATATGGCAACTTTATGCTGGATGCTTATTGGTCCAACAGTTTTATGTTATGCTCATGCTCTATTATGCATTTCATGTGCAATAGGCTTAAAGCGGGGAGCACAGACTTTTGCATAACGCATAATACATAGTGCATATAAGAGAAACAATCAATCTGAATTCCTCCTTTCCTTCTACTTCTCGGAAATAAGAACTTTGATTGGCTGATTTCTTATGCACTATGCGTTATGCATTATGCAAAAGCTTGTGCATGTCTGGGCTCTAAGTTTCGATAATTTTGAACACGCTTTTTCGAGTTAGATCCGCCGTATATGATTCCATCATGTTTTCCATATTGATTTCTGAAAGCTTCGTACGGATGTATATGAAAATGCATATATTCAATTTATGGAATTTATTAATCGAATAAAACTTCTGGAAAAATCGAATAGAGCTATATCCGAAAAGCTCGTTTCTTGGAATAAGCACATTGAAAACGTCTAATCGGAAGTTTCATATTTGTCCCGATAAAGCGACAGAACCTATCGGAAATATCGTATAGAGCAGTATAGAGCCGTATAACCGAGATTCGTTTCTCGGAATATGCGCATTGAGAACGATACGTCTAACCGGAAGTCTCGTATTTGTCCCGATAGAGCGACAGAACCTGTCGGAAATACCATATAGAGCCGTATAAGCAAGATTCGTTTCTCGGAAAATGCGCATTGATAACGATACGTTTAATTGGAAGTCTTGTATTTGTCCCGATAGAGCGACAGTACCTGTCGGAAATACTGTATAGAGCCGTATAAGCGAGATTCGTATCTCGGAAAATGCGCATTAAGAACGATACGTCTAATCGGAAGTCGCGTATTTGTCCCAATAGAGCGACAGTACCTGTCGGAAATACCGTATAGAGCCGTATAAGCCAGATTCGTTTCTCGGAAAATGCGCATTATATATGCTTTTCCATATACATTCGTACGAGGCTTTCGGAAATCAATATGGAAAACATGATAGAATCATATACGGCGGATCGAATCCGAAAAAGCGGGTTCAAAACTATAGAAACTTAGTCTATTAAATTTTCGAGCAATAATCGTATCGGATTTTCCGGATACGATAATATAGACACGTGCCAGATGTTCCACATACGTTCGGATAGACCGGCTAGTGACAAAAATGGCTTCGCTATATATATGGTTTTCCATATACATCCGTACGAAGCTTTCGGAAATCAATATGGGAAACATGATAGAATCATATACGGCGGATCGAATCCGAAAAAGCGGGTAGGAAACTACAAGTGATCTATGTGAAATTCTGTATATATTCATATAAAGCATGAATGTTGTAGATAAAGCTGAATATTCATATACATATAATACGATACAACGTCGGATGATGTTCATATCGAACCCTATAGAAAACTATAGACGAAGAATCACGGAAATGAAAAGTCATATACAATACTATAAGTTTTCGATCTTTTATACTGAAAGTCGTATATGATACATTAAAATTAACGATATTCCTTTTCGTATTCTATCCGTTTCTTTAAGCAGGGAAAGATTTCGGTCTTTTATACGCAAAGTCATATCAAGTCGTATGTGATATATTAAAATTAGCGATATTCCTTTTCATATTCTATCCGTTTTTATCGATTTTTTTAAGCAGGGTTCTTTTTTTTATTTGTTTTGTTATTTTTTGCTGTGAAACGCTTCAACAAGTCTCCATTACACTTACCAATTAATTTCAATATTTCTGTATGTTTATCTGCTATTAAACTTTTCTACTTGAGTTCTTTAAATTTAATATTAAAGTGTGCAATTCGTTTTTCTTGACGCTTGTTTCTTTGCTTTAGTGTTTGCACCAGTCGTTTATAATGTGCTTTTTGATTACATATTATTTTGCGCAAAAATATCTTTCTAGGTGTATTCCATGTATCCTGTTGTTCTTCGGTACAAACACATGTAAAGCAATGGTTTCTTTTTACCATAATTACATCATTATCTTCACTATTACCTCTTTTCTTACGACGTGTGGGCGTTTGTACTTGTGTTATTTCCGATTTCAACTATAATTGTACATAAAATTTAAAATTTTATTTATTACCATACAAGAAAGTATTCTATGAAATTTTTTCCACATAAATATTAAGAGTAAAATTTATTATTTTATAAACAATCACAAAATATAACATAATATAGACATATCTTCATTGTATTTACATATTTAATATATGTGAATGTAGCTGAAATACTTACTGATAATTCATTTGGTTTTGAAATGTCCATTAATATTTCATCTATAGTTGCATTAGCTTCTATAGCTTCATTATTTTCTTATAAAGTGTTTGTCTGTGAATATAATATTCATTACTATATTAATGCAAGAGTAGCATCCGTTTAACCACGCTGCAGTTAACTACCAGCCACTCACAGCACTTGAACGGTGAAAAGTGTTAGCGAGTGCGTAAATCAAAGAACAAATTTTCTGCTTACTTTAATCGGTTATCTTTATTATGCAAGAAGAAGGTTATGAAACCTACACGTTCAAAAGGTAAAGGAAAAGGTGAGTACAATAAAGAACAAAAATTAATTACAGAAATCAGACAAATAACATAAATGGCCTCACGTGTGTGGTAAATCATTGTGGCTGATTCTTCTCATTAATTACGATATTTCAAAATAAGTAAAAATAAACAGAACTAAAGCAAAAACGAATATGTATGAGCTTATTCAAATGCAAAATAAAATAGAATAATTTAATCTAATTATTCTAACACTCCTCCTCATTTGGATAAACATCTAATCCTAATGCCCGGCGTAGTTTTATGAAACGTTTCTTTGATAGCGGCTTTGTTAATATGTCCGCTATCATTTCCTCCGTAGGGCAATATTTACAGATTACAGTTCCTTTGTCCACGTAGTCCTTGATGAAAAACTTCTTGGTGTCAATGTGCTTAGTTCGAGTTGAAAATTTCTCCTCCTGAATCATACTCAAGCAACTTTAGTTATCTTCGTATATAATGGTCGGTTGCGTGAATGTCATTCCGAAGTCATTCAGAATTCTGCGTATCCATGACAACTCCTGACATCCTTCGCACAGCGCAATAAATTCGGCTTCAGTTGAAGGGAGTGCCACGCACGATTGCCGCTTACTGGTCCAACTAATCGCTCCCAATCCAAACATGATGACGTAGCCTGTGTTCGACCGCCGTGAGTGGCTGTCTCCAGCCCAATTGGCATCAGTATAGGCACGCAACTGTTGCTCATTCATGTCACTCCCAAGTTTTAATTCCGTTCTTGCTGTGCCCTTCAGGTATCTCACAATTCGTTTTATTTCGTTCCAATCCTCTTCAATGGGCATTGTCATCTTTTGCGCCAATATTGATACTGCTGCTGAGATATCGGGACGTGTGTTGACAGATATGTATAAAAGACATCCAATTATCCTTCGATATTCCTCATTCCTAGGTAACAATGGTGATTCGCTGTTTCCATATCCGGTACTCAATGATATATCAGATATTTTTGCCTTGTGTAACTGTAAATCTTTTACAACTTGTGTTATGTATGCTGTCTGATTAATGATATAATAATTCTGATCACTATTTTTTCTGATGTGCATACCGAGATAATTCTTAATCTGTCCGAGATTTTCAATTTTATAAGCTGTTTTAAGCGCGGATTCACATTGCTCTAATAAACTATCTGAGTTACTTGCCAAAATTATATCGACGTATATTAAAACATAGATTACTCCAGTGTTGTTCGCCATTGTGTAAAGACACTGATCATTTTTGCTCTGATTTAATCGGATCCTGGTCATCGTGTCGTGTATTGATTGGTTCCATACTCTCGCTGATTGTTTCAGACCGTATATGCTTTTTTTTGAGTAAACACATCTTGTTCTCGTGCCCTTCCATTGAAAAACCTGGTGGCTGCTTCATATAAATTGTTTCCTCTAATTTACCGTTGAGAAAAGCCGTTTTCACATCCAAATGCAGCACCTTCATATTCCTTTTTACAGCTATTGACAAAAGTATTTTGAATGTAACTGGTCTCACAACCGGTGCGAATACCTGATCATAATCTACCCCAAACTTTTGACTGAAACCTTGAGCTACGAGTCGCGCTTTAAACCTCTTTATCTGCCCGGCTTCATCAGTTTTTAATTTGTATATCCATTTGCAACCGATAGGTTTTCTGTCCTTCGGTAAGCTGACTAGCTCCCAAGCATCGTTATCTAAGAGCGATCGCATCTCCTCCTCCATAGCTGCAACCCATTTTTCTTTCTCGTTACACGTAACTGCCTCTTGATAGTTACTCGGTTCCTTAGTTGCAATTAATGCCATGTTCATCTCTTCTATCAGTCTCTGTGGTGGACAGCCTTTAGTAGAACGTGATGAACGCCTTGGTACCTCTTCGTCTTGCTCATCGTTGTTCTCCACACTACTATAGAATTCGTCTGTGGTGGGGGTTGAATCTTGTACATCTGTTGAAGTTATTGTATCAGTCTCATCGTCATCCACGGTGTTTTTAAAAAAATTTGAATAAAGCAGCCTTGCACCCCGAAACTAACGACGTGAAGTAACTTCTGCTAACATATAAAAACAATCCCCGTTGAACAGAAAATCGAAAAAGATACATTTTTTAGATATGCTATTTCTTGCTATTTTTTCTTTTATATGGCCCATGCCATATACAATTTGTAGTTGAAGAATATATACATATATATCAACGAGCATATATATATATATATACATAAGTATATATATATAACATTATCTAATATACCAATATTGATACGATCGTGGCACATTAAATTTCAGTTTCTGATACAACTTATGATTGACTTCCAAGCCTTGTTTATTTACAATGTTTCGCTACGCAAAGCTTGTAAATAAACAAGCCGCACGAAAGTACACGCTATTATGAGGACTCGATGTTAAATCATTAGTATTAGTTGAACTTTGGCGTTAATTGCGGTCAGTAGTATAATAGATTCTTGTTCTTCTTATTTTTTGATATTAAGTGAAAATGCGTACTGTTGAGAAGAAAATTTTTCACTCACCAACACATGAAGACAATAGAAAAAGAGTTTGCTTACTGTGTCTGTGCTCACATAAAGTGTTAATCCCTATAAAAGGTAAATTGAAAGACAAGATGGAATCAACAGTTAACTTCAAAATTAATGAAACTGCACCAACAATTGTTGTATGTTCTTCATGTTACCGTAAACTTTATCGTAAAGAAAGTGAGAAAAATTTTATTCTGCCAGATTATTCGAAATTCATTTTTCGAAAAACTAGATCAAATAATAATGAAGTTCAGTGCATTTGTTATTTATGTACTTTAATTGGAAGCCGCAAATCAAAAATAAACAAAAAAAGAAAACAAAGTGTTAAAAATGTACATAAAAGATGCAACAGATGTTTTTCAGTAATTGCTAAAGGTGTTTCCCATATTTGCATAAAAAATCAATACAAAAATATGAAGGAAGTTGTCCTCGGTAATCTGTGCGATAAGGAAAAAGATCATGTAGGCGCATCTTTATTAAAAGCAAAAATCAACAATGATAAAGAAAAAGGCAGAAGTCAAAAAAATGTTTTGTTACTTTCTCAAGATAAAGGGGCTCCGTTAAGACTAGCTATTCAACTCAAGGAAAAAAATAAAAATGAAACAAACCCAATTTCAGTCCAAGAAGTTGCAGAATTGCAAAATAATTTCAATTTCAGTTTAAGAAAAACTACAGGAGTTTTATCAAGTCTACGAAAAATGACAGAAAATAGAAAAATATTTCAACCGAATGTACTTCACAAATTAATTGAATGGAATCATGCTCTCGATGATTATTTTTCGGTACAAAATTGTGAATTTATTCATTCAAAAGGAAAGCATGAAAATCCTGTTAATAAATGTGTGGTATACTGTCATGATGTAAAAGGTCTTATAAATTATGTGAAAGTACAAAGGCAATTAACAGATTTTCATCTTAAAATTGGAATGGATGGAGGGGGAGGCTTTTTAAAAATATGCTTATTGATACAATCTTTATCAAATAATATCACAGATAAGAAAAATAATTCGAAGAGCAATAGAATTTTGTGTAATAAAAAAGTGTTCAAAGATTCTGGCGTGAAGAAAATTTTCCTTATAGCTGTAGCTCCAAACACTCAAGAAAATTATGACAACGTTAATCTATTATGGCGGAAAATGGAATTGAGTGAATTGGTTGAAGAACTTGGTGCCACTATTTCAACTGATCTAAAATTGGCTAACTTGATGTGTGGACTCATGGCTCATTCAAGTAAATTTCCATGCACGTGGTGTTTAGCAAATTCAAGTTCCTTGCATACTAAAGGTGTCGATAGGACAACTGAACAAATAATTGAAAATTACAATAAATATGTCGAAGTCGGATCTACTCCAAAACTTGCAAAAAATTATAAAAATTGTGTTCATGTACCAGTTTTTCATGAAGTTTCAAATAAAGACATATTACAGTTGATACCTCCTCCAGAATTACACCTTATGTTAGGATCAGTTAATACCATAGTGAATCATATGTTACAAAATGAACTGTGCAAGGTATATGCTGACCAATGGATTAAGGACTGTGGTGTGCAAAGACAAGTCACACGTAACGGTAGTGCATTTACAAGCAATTTATGCCAAACTTTACTAAATAAAATTGATTTATTAAGATCTCAACGTAGTATAGAGGGTCTAACATATGTACAATTACTCAAGGATTTAAAAGACGTGGTCAGCAAGTGTTTCGGGAATGAACTAAAATTGGGTTATGAAAGAAGCATTGAAAAGTTTCGTAAAAACTTCTTATCCACAGAACTTCCAGTCACGCCTAAGGTCCATGCTATATTTCTTCACGTGTTAGACTTTTGTAAGAACAACAATACCAGCCTAGGGTTTTATAGTGAACAAGCCGTAGAAAGTGTCCATCACGAATTTAACGAATTATGGTCAAATTACAAAATAAATAAAAATCATGAAGAATATGAAACTCATCTTCTGAAAGCAGTTCAGCAATTCAACAGCCGTCATCTATAAATTTATTATTTTATAAAATAATAAATATTATTTCAATGTTCAAGAATAATTCTCATTGCATTTTTCATCGATTGAGAAATTAATTAATGTGATAAATTTGTATGTTTCTAAATCAATTTCTTTATTGTTACTATTTGTTGACTCTGTCTCGTTAAAAATTTGAAGATTTATAATACAATTTTATAAATTGATGATAAAAAATAGATAAAATATTTTCCTTTACGTTATATACATATCTATTAAAAATGAGTGAATTCTATATTTAAGTTACCAATTGAACTGATTCATATTGACACTTTTTCAGCGTTATTTCAGCTACCTCCGAAATAAATGGACTTATCTAAAAAAATGTATCTTTTTCGATTTTCTGTTCAACGGGGATTGTTTTTATATGTTAGCAGAAGTTACTTCACGTCGTTAGTTTCGGGGTGCAAGGCTGCTTTATTCAAATTTTTTTAAAAACACCGTGCATCTTCTCTATTACCAAGGTCATTGGTCATTTCTGGTACTTGTATTGGCTTCTCTGATATCATGTTTGGTTTCTTTTCGACAAACTGCACATCTCTAGAGACAATTACTCTGTCCCGTTCAGCAATGTAACATTTGTAAGCTTTTGATGCTGCATCGTATCCGACAAAGATTCCATGAACAGCCTTCGGATCTAATTTCTGTCTTCTTTCATCCGGAACGCGAACGTAACATCGCTCTCTGAACTGTTTTAGGTACGTGTACGTTGGTTGCTTGCAATACCAGTACTCGAATGGTGTTTTTGATATATTTTTTTACAACAAGCGATTTTGCAGGTAGTTTGCTGTCATAATTGCTTCTCCCCAAAAACGCTTCTGCAAGTCAGCTTCAAAAAGCATGCAACGTGCCATCTCAACTAGTGTACGGTTCTTACGCTCTGCAACACCATTTTGTTGTGGAGAATATGGCGTTGTCCTTTGATATTTAATGCCTTCAGCTCTTAGATAATTCTCAAAATCCTTACTCATATATTCACCACCTCGATCGGATCTTATCATTCTTATTTTGCGACCAAACTGATTTTGTGTCAATTTAATGAACTTCTTAAATTTATCAAATACTTCAGATTTCTCTCTTAGTAAATAAATGACTGTATATCGTGAACAATCATCTACAAAGGTCAATACGTACCTTTTTCCGGACGGTGTGGTAGTTGGCATGGGTCCGCAAACATCTGAATGTATCAGGTCTAATACGTTTTTGGCACGGCTATTAGTTTCTTTCGGGAATTTTATTCTGGTCATTTTCCCTTTCATGCAAATTGCGCATACTGACTTTTCTTTGCAACTCTCCCTACACTCAGTAACCTCTATACCATTTACCAAGCCGCTATTAGGTAATTTCTTCACAATTTCGATATCTCTGTGTCCAAGGATTTTGTGCCATTCGTGTGCGCACTTACGTTGTTTGGTCTGTGCAGTATTTATTGATTGCAATTGTCGAAGTCTGTACAAACTTCCATGCAAATCTGCTACAGCGTATTGCTTCATGCCGTCGCCACTTCGTATTTCACATTTATCGCCAACGAAATTGATCTTAAAACCCTTTTCAGTCAATTTTCGAACCGAAAGTAAGCTACCTCCAACCTGCGGTGCATACAGTACATCGTCTATTCTTACTTTGATCGTATCGTTATTCTCATTCTTTAAATTCATAATGACAGTCCCCTTTCCAATTGCC